TTGGCTATATATGTGTGGTAAATGTAGCTATCTGTTCCTAAGGTATCAACGCTCTAGGTCATCTGTTTTTACCAATAAACCATCAGTGCAAATATCAACACAGTGAAACAGTCAGATAATGTCTTCCTGTTAATATAGAGATAACGTTGACTTTGTAGTCCCCACAAAAAGGGTCTTGGGGACCCATGGATTCAGGGTGTGTACTTGGAAAATCATTGTCCTAGAATGAGAGACTCAGCCAGTGATAAAAGCAACATGAAAGGGCTAAGAGGGTGCTGGATTTAGATTCAGAGAGTCTAGATTTCAGTCCATGATCTGCTCCTTACCAACAAAGTGACATTGAGTGAATCAATTAACCTCTTTGAGATTCAATTTCTTCATCTGAAATATGGAGTCAACACAACCAGTTGTTCAAGGACATTCAAGAGTAGAAACAAAATACACTCTAAAATACAGAGTACTCTAAAAGTATACTCTGAAATACACTTTTAAATATACTCTAAAAATATTCATTCATCCATTTATTCACTCATTGGTTGCATTTACTTCCCCTAGAATCTTATAAGAGGATTAAGAGACAACTATACAGTCCTGCTGGTGTTGTGGGCAGGTGCATTGCTGTGGAAGAGAAAGTAATTTTGAAGTAACTTAGGGCTGCAGCCACCAGGCCCCCTCAGATCTGGTCTGGCCTCTCTGGGGGGTTCTGAGCAAAGCCAAGTTCATACCCACAGCCACAGTCAGCAGTCAGCATGAGAGCCCCCAAGATAAGAATCTGGTGCTGCTGGCCTGGTTTCCCACAGAGCTGGTCCAAAGTGTGTGCTCGTTGTCTTGCTCTCCCACACTCAGCTCCTGGCACAGCAGCTCCCCCACCCAGCACAGCAGACTGGAAAGCAAGATTTAAAAAGTAATATTTTTAATGGAAACCCCTGAGTCTGATCTTTTACTTTTAAACACATCATCCTCCCAGCAAAGTGCTTTATTAGTAATAACAAATTCCAGTGACAGGCATCACAAAAGCTCAAGACAGCCCAATGTGTCACCCACTGATGCCAGGAACTTGGTTTTAAATATCCCTCCTCCTCAGGACTGCAGCCTGGGACCTTCCTTCCACAGCCACACATTTGTAGAGTTTTTCATTTGCTATTTTAATGCCCTCCTAGGTAAAGACAAATTAAAATTTGAAATTAGCATGAATTTTACCATTTATCTTTATACTGTGCAACGCCAGTTTTAAATGCAAATATGAGAGTGGTTAACCACTGAGCAGTTTCCAAAATAACAGAATTTGCATTCCATAGTGCTTGCATGCATGTGGATTCAATTCTTTACAGAGCAGTATAATTGCCACACAAACAGAACTCAGCTTGCTTTCATTTCACTCCTTGTTGTGAGCACATTCTACTTGTGCCCTCCACCTTCAGCTCCCTGAGTGGGGTGGACCCAAAGAAAAGGAACTACGGGTTGCCTGTTTTTTGCCTTTTCTTCTCTGTCATCATTCTCTGAATAGAGTTTGGCTACTCCAGGGAATTACAATGAATGAGAAAGGATACCACACAGAGTTGTTTGCTTGTTCATGTTTCTTATAACGCCCCTGCCTTCTTTCTACATTCAAAACAGCTTGGGTTCCCATGAAAGGGGTTGACTCCCAGGTTGGGGGCTCCCCACTCCGTAACACGCTTACGTGGCTCTCTCTCTCTCTGAGTCCTGGGAACTCGCACTCATTGCGCAAGCACTGGGAGTCTGTGCTCGTGGGGTTGCTGATGCTAAGTGTGACCAGGGCAGCCAGAACAGCTGTGCCTAATGCACTTGTCTCCTGTGCCCACAACATGTTCCATGGTCTAATCAGACTTTATTATAAAACACTATTTCAAAGATAACGTTATTAAGGATTTCAAGATGGCAACAGCAGAGATTTACACCAAGCCCTTCTTGAACACAACCTTGAGCGACTTTAAGGTCAGACACCCATTAAGCTCCTGCCGCACTTGTCCCTGAAGTTACTTGGCCTCACTGCTGACAGACCGTAGAGTGTGTTCTGCCTGACACTTGCTGGTCCTTCCTGGCCTGGGCATGTTCCTCCTCTTCCTATGACCTCAGCTCAACAGTCACACCCATAGGTTAGCCCTGAACCAGAACTCGGCACCACACCGGACTGCAAGCAGCTGCTAGTCCAGGACTGGGTCTGGTTTTATGCATCATTATTTTTGCCAGTGCTGGGCACATAGTCCCCAACTAATAGTAAGTGATTGTATGAATATACAAATAAATGTGTTTGCACCAGAACACAAGGATCAGATGAAGAGGCAGATAAATGAGAAGAGTGACATGAATTCCAGTTTAAAGGAAACTGGAACTTGTCTCAATCTGAGCTGGTGGAGATTAAGTGAGCATCACATTGCTCTGTCTCTTCTACTAGATAATGAGTGTGGAGGAACAGGGTTCCTTCTGTTTTGGGGTCTTCCAAGTTGTTTATGTCTCCAGGCCCAGCACAGTAGCTGGCACTCACTCGACTCACCAAAAAAAAAAAAAAAAACCACTGGTTCTATTGCACTGAATGTGTTAAACATAGGTAAATGAAAGTCCTGAGGTTACCTTCCCTTGGACTTCTCCCTCCTTTTCTCTCCCCCTTCCTTTTCCTTCTTCTTCTCTTTTCCTCTTGTTAAGGATTTCTGAGTCTTGAGAACTACTTTGGTTGTGATCAAATGTTTCCAACAGAAAATTACCCTCATTTATTTTCAGTTTAACTTGACTCTTCAAAGAGAAATAGTCTGATTGTTCTTATAATCATGGTGGCTGGGCACTCCAGAGAATGCCCCAGAACCATGCTGGGTACATTTGCTGGTAACATTCCCATATTGGCATTGATCTTAAGATGGAATCACAAAGCAGGCACTTTAGAAGTTCATCCATTCAACTCCAGCCAATTGAGAGCAGATTAAACTTGGGGAGGGAATGAAAGCTGTCCTCTGCCCTGGGGCTGCTGAGCTGGCCTTGTCAGAGACTTGGGTTGATCCCAGCAGCTTAATGGAAACCAGCCTTCTTGTTAGAGCCTGGTCTGCAACCTGTCTGTCTTGTCCATTATTCCACAACCACATTTGAGAAATGGCCAGGAGGGGATGTAGTGAAAATGCAGTGTTCATAATGAAATTGAGGATCGATTAAATAATAAAAAACAAAAGCCTGAAGGTAAGATTGGTATTGATTGACCATCTCAGAAAACATTGTTAGTAAGAGATCAGGGCATGCTTCCTAGAAGTAAAATGGGGGATTTCTCTCCTAAGTGAGACTTGAATGGGAATGCAGAATGTTAATGAAGCATCTCTGGGGTGGTCCCCTTCGAAGGTATGGGACTGCCTTAAGATGGGGAGGGGGAGTAGAGAGGCCATGGTCATGGGAATCAGCCCAACCTGGGCTTTACACTCAGCTTAGTTCTGTGACCTCGAGCAAGTAATAATCTCTCTGGTGCTTATTTATTTTTTCTGTTTAATTTGTACAACTTTGTATAAAACACCTGCCTTGCAGGTTTGCTATGAAGATTAAATGAGATCCCCTAAGAGGAGGTACAAACTCAGTGCCTAGCACAAAGCAAGCAAAAGCGTTATCCCTTCCCCTCACAGAGTCAGCTCTTGGAAATAGCTGGGCAGGCACGTGGTCACCATGAGAGTGAGGGTCCACTTAAATTGTGTCCCCTTGGTACCTCATCCTGGTCTCAACAGGGCAGCTGGGTCAATGTCAGACCAGGAGGGTTGGGACATATCAGGGTATGTTGCCCCCTGCAATATCATCTCCTGAGCCATTTTACTGGTAACACAAAAAAGACCCAGAGTATGAGCATAATTTACTACATCAAGTGTAAGTAAATGACTGTAGGTTGTGAGCCAGGCCTCTGGGCTCTAAGCATGCATTTGGTGCCCCAGTAACCTATAGCTCAATTCTGCTGCTCACACACTCCTCTGCACTGTTGGTGGTCTTTTCATACATCTACACACCATCTACCTCAGCAAGTCTGCAAGTTACCTCAATACAGGAAGAAAATATGTCTCAGATTTGCAGTACTTCCCAAGGCACTTACTACAGGGCTTACTTGCAGTTGGGGGTTCAAGAAACAAATATCCATCAGTTGAGAAAAAGAAGGTATTTTCATGCCCTTATCATTTTAATGCAGAGAAATAGCTATAATACACATTAACCCAGCTGAAGGGGGAAAGGCATTCATTTCACATGTTCAGCTCTTTAAGAAGTAATTTTTTCAGGCTCTGCAGGAACACTGAGACTCACATTGACTCACCCCCACTGTTTTGAGAGAAGATTGCTACTGTGAGTGGAGTCCCTCACCCCACAGGGAAGTTCCTGGGGGAGGAGAGGGAGGGGAGGTGAGACATGCTGGAGGCAGTGGGTGGGGGATGTGGCTGCAGCAGTTTTAGTGTTTAATCCTGGAGGGAGGGATGGAGAAGAGCAGAGGGGGTCTGATTTAGTGAGCAAACCTAGCACCTGGAGAACCATTAAAATGCAGATTCTGATTACTGAGGCCTAGCGGGCCTGGGCCTCTACTTGGGGGATACTCATGGTGCTGGTCCACAAACCACACATTCAAGTAGCAAGGATGCTGTCACAGAGCATAGGTTGTGGAAGCTTTGAACCTTTTCTCCTTTATTCTGCAGTCATTAGTCTTTTGACTAAGTGAATTCCTTAATCTCACACTGGGCCTAGGGTGAACAAGCAAAGAAACTGACAAAGTAGAGTAATCCTGCATGGTGGGTCTCCCCTTTTCTGCCCGACACACTTGATGGGTGACATTTCCATGCATGAAACACTTCCGTTTTACTGTCCATGAAATGAACATGTTGGTCTGGATCTCTGGGGACCTCTTCTGGTTTGACAATTTTCTTGTGGAGAAAATGGCCTGGAGGTTTGAAGTTTGCAGATCTGGCCCTATAGAAGCTTGGTCTTCAGCCTGGCAGTTCCAGTATCCTCACCTCTTGTCTTCCATTCTTTTGCAGGGGAGATCTGTGCATTCAAGATACACGGGCAGGACCTGCCCTTTGAGGCGGTGGTGCTCAACAAGACATCGGGAGAGGGCCGGCTCCGCGCCAAAAGCCCCATCGACTGCGAGCTGCAGAAGGAGTACACGTTTATCATCCAGGCCTACGACTGTGGCGCGGGGCCCCGGGAGACCGCCTGGAAGAAGTCACACAAGTGAGTGGCCTGACAGAGACTCCTGAGCCTCCCCACTGCTACCCTCCCTACTGCAATCCCATCACGCGTTGCCCTCCAAGTGTGTGTGCCCAGTGGTCACACCAGGTGCTCCAGCCACCTTGCCCACTTCAGTTACTCCAGCTTGTCCCTGCAGGCATCAGCACAGGCCCCTTCCTACACCTAGAATACCCCCTTCCTATCTCACTTGAGGACATTCCTGTTCTGTTGCAGCAGTTTCCGTCAAGAAGCTAAGTAGTGCTCAGAGAGGAGGAGGGAAGTTCTTTGTTTACACTCGCAGGCTCAGAAGAGAGCCTTCTCCAAAATCTGAGCCCTAAGCAACTAAGTTACAGGGTATTTATTTATTTATTTATTGACTTAAAGCAAGGGGTCCAAGCAGCTGGGAAAGTATGTATCAAGCATATGGCCTCGACAGCGGGTATCAGCCTTTCCCTGAAATGTTTAGTTTACATGTTCTGGCCCAACTTCAGCAGGTCAGTCTGACATTTTCTACTTCAGTTTCACTGCCAGGACTGAGTTCAGGTTTCACTTTTTCTGGGAAGTCCTCCTTGAGCCATCTCTGCTGTGACTTTCCCCTGGGTTTCTGCCCATCTGTGTGCCTCTCTCTCTCTCTCAGAGTACTTTCTTTTTTGAGTTGTAACTCTCCCAGATGGAGTTTGGCTCAGAGCCTAACACATAGTAAGCATGGCTAACTTCTTACTGAATTTGGTGAATAGAGCAAGGAATAAGTAAGGGGCCCTCAAGCTGGGTGACAAGAAAAGCCAAAGAATGGGATGAGTCTCTTAATCTTAGAGGACAGGGTGCAGGCAGTAGAGGGCTCTGCAGGAAGAGAGAGGACAGAATCCTCAATGACAGCCTCCTAGACTGACATGGGATTTCTCCACTCACTTGAGCTTGGGACCCCAGCACCGCCCACAGGTGATGTGATTCTCTTTGACCACTACCTCTCCCTTCCGGTGTGTGCCCCCAGGGCTGTGGTCCATATCCAGGTGAAGGACATCAATGAGTTTGCACCCACCTTCAAAGAGCCTGCCTACAAGGCTGTGGTGACAGAGGGCAAGATCTACGACAGCATCCTGCAGGTGGAGGCCGTCGATGAGGACTGCTCCCCCCAGTACAGCCAGATCTGCAACTACGAGATCGTCACCACTGACGTGCCTTTTGCCATCGACAGAAATGGTGGGTGTCCTGCAGGGATCACAGTGGGTCCAAGGGAATGACTCCACCACTCCACTCAGAAGCAGGAGCTCTGAACTCAGTCCTGCACTACAGGGATGTCCTTGCATGATTAGGAGCCCAGTCAGGCCTAAAACACTCCCAGACACCTCAGAAACCTACTCAGTGAATAGGGGCCTTAGAACTCCGATGTCACACATCTGGATACTGCTGGAGTCTGGTTTCCGGTGTTGTCCAGCACAACCATGCTACCCATGTGGGCATGCCTGTGTCCCTTTCCTATTCAACAAGTTATAACATTACCTCCCGTCACAACAATCTGTCTTCTTCCCTGAGGCATGCTGACAGAGAAGGTGGAGGTTTTGAAATAACTTCTAAGCTCTACATCCATTCAGGAATCTTTAAAGCTCTTGTTGATGCCCTTTGAGAATTTCCACCCTAATGAAAGTGAAGCATGAAAGAATCCTCCCAACATACTCCAAGCCCAACCTGAACTGAGCTGAGAACAGTCCTATAATGTCATGTGGCTATTTCTCCATCAACATTAATAAAAAACTCATTATAGTGTACACACCACAGCCAGAGGCACAATCTACTCAGCCCACATTGACAGTAATTTTCAATATCTTGATAGTAATCAAGTGAGTATTTACCAAGAATATTGTGGAATTAGCAGCATCAGCATGTGAGTATATGGACATAATCTCCGTGTTGTTTCAAATAGGACTTAGTACTGCATAAAGATGCAAAAGTTGCAAACCCTGAAGATTACCCACTCTGTAAACACTTAATGAGTGCCAGGCATGGAGATAGAATATAACTCAAATAGACATGGGCCTACTCACATGGAGCTTACCATTAATGGAGAGAAAAATCAAAGTAAAAAAGAGAATATCATGTAGCATTAAGGGTGAGGTTAGTTCACAAACTTGCCACAAACTGGAGTGAGGAAATGATTCGCTGTGAACTTCCTAGTAGCTACTGACTGCCCAGAGGGAAATACCATCAATGACTTCCTTGCCAGTCTTCCAGAGAAACCCAGTGTTCCCCAATGTTGGGACCAGGGAGAGACTTGTCTCTATGATACAGCCATCAACACCCTGAGAGCTGCCACAGACTCTACTGGGGGAGGGTGTGGAAGCCTCATCCATGACCTCCAGTAGCTTATGATCTGTCATACAAGATGAAACCAATATTCATAAAACAGAAAAATTATAATAAGACAGCATTTCTTATAAAATGGTAGAACAAGTAGAAATGACCATTACACACCTGGACATTGCTCAATGCAGGTTGTGCAGACACAGATGCCTGCACAGAATAAAGGAGAAAATACTGGGCTTTCATTAAGTTTGGGTCAGGACTAAGAGGAAGCTGATTTTAATTAGTAGAACCTGTTGGAATTGCTCCCTGACCGTTTTCCCTGCAGGCCCCTTGAAATGGCTGGCCTGTCCCCACCACTCACACACACACACACACACCCCACTACACACATACTACACACACATACACTACACACATTACACACACTACACACACACTACACACAACCATACATACATACCACACACACATCCCATTCGCACCACACACATACCAAACATAGCACACACACAGCACGCACACATATACCAGAAACACCACACATATACCACACACACCACACACACCACACACTACACATACACACGCACATACCATACAAGCACCCTACTCCATAACAACTATTTTGCATTCTTTTTTCTCTGGTGGGTTTTTGTTCCCCTGTGATTAGCTTTGTGGTGTGGTCTATATCCATGAAAGTTTTGGAATTTGGGGAGTGACAAGTCCTTGGTGGAGAGCAAGACTAGACAAGCGGAGGTATTGGTGATGAGTGGCCAAGCTCCACTTGACCTCCCATCTTCATTCTGGAGAGTCACCACCCCATGAGAGATGAGATGCAAATTCTTTCATCAAAGGGTAAACTGCCCCAGTCATGGAGATAATTACTCACCCTGATGAGCCAATTCATGAACATATGCCAATTTGTTTCCCTAGCTGTCTCATTAAAAGTGAGGAATGGTCCTTTGCCAGGCCTATGCCTCTGACGTTGGTTTACAACATAAGATGAAGAGGAGAGTAGGTACTCCCCAGAAGTGTGGGCCCCGCCAGCGAGGTTTACAAAAGCACTTCTCCAAGTAAAGAAGGCAGGGCCTGGGGCAAGCATGGAAGGGGCTCTCCTAAGGAGACTTCCACTTGGCCCTTCTCCATCACTTCTCCCAGCGACCTTCCTGGCTCCTTGAAGAAGCTCTTTGCATGTACGTAAGTGATGCCCTGCTGAGTTTGGGGCTCGCTCCTTAAAGTCCCAGGGTTTCAGGTAATGACTCCTGGATCCTTAAACCTTCCAGGATCTTTTCTTGGAGGAAAAATGGTGGATCAGGGCAGCAAGGAAGCTAGAAAACATTTTGTAGTCAGCCTGCCTATCTTAACTCGAGACTCAACCTCATCCAACAGGAGGTCCTTGACCTTGACCTCCCTCCCCAGGAATTCCACCCCTGTGAAACCCTGGCAGTAACAGTCCCAGACTCCTTCTGGGGTTGTGAGGCCCTGAGGAGGCGGTGTGTGGATATTTGGTTTGCAGGACCCCTGCATGTGGGGAGTGCTCTACTCATGGTGCCCTGACACTAGATACCCTGGGTGACTGGGGTATGCATGCTATGTACTCCCTATGAGTCCCCAGGCTGAAACCATAAGCAGGTAACTCTGAGTTGGTGTGTGCCTTTTGTAGGAAGTTTGGAAAGCTTAGAAAAGTATAAAAAGGAAATAGGCACCTAAAAATCACACCAAACATAACCACTATTGACATTTTACCATTTTTCTGAGTTTTTCTATGATGTCTTGAAACAAAAGTAAGGCCACACACTTCTCTCACTTTCCTTATCTTCCTTTTTTTTACTTATTGTTCAATTATATGGATTTTTCCCATCTTAAAAAAAGCTCATTATGACCACTTTTCGTGCTGAACAACTTTTTATTGAATGCGTAGACTCACACTTAGCGCTCCCTTACTGTCAACCACTCTGTTTCTTTACTATGTGTCAAAGGTAGTAAATAACACTTCAGCATATTCGCAACTAGATTTTTCTAGAATATATTTAGATGTGGCATTGTGTGCCCCAAAGATATGTACAGTTTCAAAGCTACTGGCCAAATAGCTTCCAGAGGGCTTATTATGATCTGAATGTCATCAGAAGGAGGAGGCAGGTCAATGAGCTTGTCTCCATGCTCCCCACTGCATCTGAGGTCTCACATAATACTTTCACTAACATGCAAGGTAGGCACTGGTTGTTTTTTGAGAGTGGGCTTCTGAGGTTCCTTTGTACCAGAAAGATATCCCTCGGGACCATTACTCACCTGACTTAACTGTGGTCTCTTGAGAAAGCCACCTAGTAGGAGAAATCATTCAAATATGGGTGCGGGAGGGGGAACACAATTGTAACAGAAGCAAAATGAATGTTTGTGAGCTTTCAAAAGTTTGGAAACGTGTGCCTTATGCAAACAAGGCCCTCTTTGCCACAATGGATCACAATAGTTACTCACTCCTGTGGGACCTAGTGCTTCAAATTCTGTGCTCTGAAACCCATTCTCACATGCATGAAGTCAATGGCGCCAGAGAGAGTAAATTCGTTTCTCAGACAGTTTCATTAAGACTTGTTACGGAAGTGGAGCTGCAACAAATTGAGCCAAGGATTGCGGGCTTGTGTTTATTTTTGTACCACAATCAATAGTATTTGGTCTGCTTAATGTCACAAGAATTGCAAACCCTGAGCCTTCCTCCTCCAAGAAGTGTATCTTTTGAGTGCCATTTAACTTGAAAGATAAAGAAAGTTAAAACTTTTTCTTCAAAATTGCATTTGATAATACCGCAACATGGTTTTCCCCCCCAGTTTTGGTGGAGGGCTTCCACCTGATAGAAGCCCTCCCCTGTGACGACTGGAACCCCAACTAGTTTGTTAACATGACCCCACAGGAAATGTTACCAGCTGACAACGAGTGTTCCAGGCCTGTGTGACCCCAAGATGAGGGTGAAATAAATATTTGAGGGAAAATGAAAAGGACTCTGAACACCAGTCACCAGCAAGCAATATATCAAGCTCAGTTTTATTCAGACTGGCTTTTTGTAACTGAATTCTACTTTAGATCAGTGGCTGTAGATGCATTTTTAGAACAATCCAGAGAGAAAGTAGAACAAATCATTCTATTGGACATTGGTCCAATGTCCTGGGAAAATTCTTGCCCCCTCCTGGCCTCTGCGCCCCTCTGCTCCCCCACACAGAGGCCCACACCTGTAACACCGGCTCACGGCCTAATACTGAGTCCTGTTTTATTAATATTGGCTGACTAGGGGGATCACTTTTTCAATTATTTAAAATCTTATGTGATTTTTTCTAATTTTCCAAGGTTTCCTGACTTACTTTGTGTCTTGCTCAATTCACATAAACAATTTTACAACTGTTGGAATGGAAGAAATTTCATTAAATAGTTTTCCCTTCATGTTGATGAAATACAGAAGCACACCTCAGGCAGCCAGGCATGTCTGTCTATTTGTTTGTTGGTTTGTTTCTTAATGTCTGTTTTCTTCATTTCAGTTTTTTTTTTTTTTTTAAAGCAAGAATGAAATTATTCTCAGCAAAGGAAGACTTTAATCTCCTGGAGTCAAAAACTAAAAAAGGATTAAATGCACACTAGGCCTTTATTAATTTCTGAGAGCCAAAATTATATTTCAGCAAGAGTATGCAATTAAAATTTTGCTTATTAATTACAAATATTTATTTCTGAAACACAATATCAAACCGATAGGATCTAAAGTACACAAATAGCTCGGAAAAATTGTTTGGTCCGCTTGGAGAAAAAATAATATCTTTGTCATCAGGGCAAGCAATCTGTTATTCTGTGTAGTTTTGGGAAGGGAGGTCACACATTTTCTTATTGATTTTACTTCCTATTTTGTAGCAAAATAATGTGAGAAGAGGCAGTGAACACTCCTGGCAACGAGCCCAGATGTTAAAAAATGTGTTAGGACTTTTCTGAATTCCATCTTTTTCCCAGAGTTTCTGTGGCAGATGAGCTCCCTGTGCACTACTTCAGAGACGGTCACGTGGGCACACCTTGAAGGGCTTTTTCTGACACTCGTTACTTATAAACACACACCAGTTGGGTTCAGGATCTGTGCTCAATATCCCCTATCCCGCTGCTCAGGGGGCCCCAGCTTGTGGCTCCTTGGAGTCTGCTACCAAAGCCCCAAAATCATTTCCTTTGGGTGAAGGTTGGTGGAGCAGAGAGTGATTTTGAAGGGAGGCAGGTGGTTAACTTGATCTGAAATGATTCTGAGCATTCTGTGTACCCAGGCAACATCAGGAACACTGAGAAGCTGAGCTATGACAAGCAGCGCCAGTATGAGATCCTGGTGACAGCCTATGACTGTGGACAGAAGCCCGCTGCTCAGGATACTCTGGTGCAGGTGGACGTGAAGCCAGTTTGCAAGCCTGGCTGGCAAGGTAGGTGTGTTCTTGTCTTCTTGCTGTTGAGTGAAGACATCTTGGCCTGATGTGTAGAAGGTGCTGGAATCATCTTCAGATCTTCACAACACACAGCTAGAGAAATGTTAAACATGTTCTCTGCTGCAAGAAATGAAATAGCTTATTGACACAACTCCCACCTGATATATTATCCCCATTTTACAACTGAAAATGTCCCAGGAAACTCATCAAAGTCTTGGCCCCAGTTTGTCCAGGGGACCCTTTCTCAAATCTCATGACATCTTTGAATCAATAGTAATTATCTCACAGTGCTCAGGAGGAAGCACCAGCATGCCTATTCACCTTGTGCAAGGTGCTGTGTCTGGCTGGTGTGATCATCTCTCGACAACTGAGATAGTTGGCATGTTCCTTGGGTTTATGGAGGCTAGACAGCAAAGGATGGAGATCCACAATCCAGCCACTGGACTAGGGGCTTTCTAAACATTGACTCTGGGACTGGATGAGCCATGCCTTGGATGGAGGTGATTTTTTTTTTTTTTCTAGTTTAGATCTTTTAGGAAAATGTAAAGAAGACAAAGCAAAAGCGACCCTCAGAGGATGGAGGTTTATCACCGAACTTAGAAGTGAGGAGGGCAAGGCCAGAGGTAGAGATGGACCTGACAGAAAGGTGGATGGTTCATGGACTAGCAGCAGCTCTAGTGGTGGTACCAACAGATCAGGGGCAGAGCAGGAGTGCTGGGGTTATCTCTGCACCACCATTTTGGTTGTTCAACTGACCCTGTTTCTGCCTCTGTTGATGTTATTGCAGGCTACCGGCTACTCATAACTCACAGCACTTCGTGGCTACTTGTGGCTTCTCTTTACTACCTTCTGTTTATTGCCTTCTCTTGATATGTCCATTAATTTCAGGCCTCCTATTATATTCCCTCTCTCTCTCTCATTCTTAAATTCCTGTATAAAAGGAGAAATTAACTGTGTTAGTTAGATAGGGATGTATCCTTGCATCCCTACCCCTACCTCGAATCCTCGCACCCTCGCATACCAGCATCCTGCACTATGCTAGCCGCAGCTCTAGACTAATGTCAGGCCACCAGGTATGTCCCTGGTCAGGCTTTGAATGGATGCCCCTTTAGTACAACATTCATCACTGATCCATTTTGCCGGGGTCAGGTGGATAGGAGCTTGTGGTACAAAGCAAAGACCCCTGAGGAGCTACCTGGGGCCACTCCCCTTTAGAAGGTATCTCTTAAAATGTTCTTCACTGAGCAACTTTCTCTCCCTTGATCTTGCAACTAGAAAGATGGAGAGAGCAATCATTTGCCTTTGAACAAAGTAAAGAAGAGGAAATACTTAATTGAGGAGTCATAGATAAGACATAAAAGATGGAAAGAACCAGGGTCAGGCTATTTAGGACCAAACAAGAAAAAGAAAGAGGGTAAAGGCAGGCTGGGAAAACATGTGTACCCAACCTTCAAGGAGTCTGAGCTCTGGGTTGGGTATAATTTACTAAGCACGTGAGGGAGGATTCTGTCTCTTGTTCATCACCGAATTCTCAGGCGTAACACATGTCTGAACCCCACGGTGGATACCCAAGAAACTGACAATGAATGAATGAATGAATGAATGAGCAAGTGAATGAATGAAAGAATGAAATACAAAAAACTCTGAGTAAAGACTCGTTTTTATTTATCTTGTGAGGACTGGTCCCATCGAAGGCCTAGCTTTTGAAGAGAAAGGCTGGAATGAATATAAAAGCTTTCTAAGCAGGGAAAATGCTCGCAATGGAATTTTAAATGAGAAAACAAAACACAAAGCTATATCTGGAGAATGATCCCGATCATTTTTGTCTTTGATAAATGAGACACTGACAGATTTAGAATTACATTCCTGTACCTATATTTAAAATGTGATTTCCTAACAGAGTTTGTTTTTGTCTCGGTGTTACAAATATAGGAAGAAAAAATGTTAATAATGTTTAGTTCTGTGTGCAGCACGGGGACACCTATCCTCTGGTGCATGCTACTGTCCCCAGCTCGAGACCGCGGACCCCTGGAGGGGAGGGTCGTGCCCGTGCACTGCTGTATCCCCAGAGCCCAGACAGGGTCAAGCACAAACTAGTGATCGTCTGGCTTTGTCGAGTGACTGGTGAGTGACATCTTAGGGAGAAAAAGTGCCCTTCTATGGAACAAAGGAAAGAGGGGAGCAACAGTTCCCTGCATCCATTCACCATGTCAGGCAAAGCGATTTCAGCATATGTAACATGAGTCAACCACTTCCGAGAGGCCTCCCTGCCTGTTGGCTAGCCTTTGCTGGCAGAAGCTGACACTGGATTCAGCATTGTGCCCTTCTTCCCTCCAACTTAGCTCCACTAGACTGCCATTAAGTCTCTCCCCAGGCATGATCCCAGAAGGTTTTCAGATCATAGACAGGCCCTCAGGTTGTCCAGACAGAACTTCCTGCCATTCCTGGCCCAGCCCCCAACCTGGAGAACCCCCAACACTAACCCATTTAGGGCCTGATCTCTCCTCTATTCTCAGCCAGGGCTGCAGCCTCCCACCTGGAAGAGCACCTTCTCCAGGGGAGAGCATATCGCCACTGGTCCCAGACACATCTCCTGTCCACCCCCCTCCCACTTTGTAGAGCAAATTGGGGTGCTTTACCAGTTTTCTTTGCTACCTGCTAGTGAAGCAGGCTGCCCCTTACTGTGCGAGGTCTCCAGATGCCCAGGGGAAAGCAGTATGCATAAGGAGGAAGCAGATGTGGGGTGAAGCCTGCACTGGGTAGGGAGAATCAGATAGAGGGCAGTCACTCAGGGGACCCTGGAACAATATAAGGGAGCCAGTCTGCTTGGAATAGGGCCTGGGGAGATAGGGCCTGGGGAGAGAGGGGCTGGAGAGAAGTAAGAAACAAGATTGGTGAGCTCAGGTGTAGGATAGGAGGGTGGTCAAAATTTTGAAGGTCAGAGTGAGGAGCTGCACTGTCCCTCAAGCTCCTCAGACCCATCTGTGCCTGAGGGGTTGTGGGCAGGTGCCTGGCTTAACTGTCCAGAACAGCTCCCCCAGCTGACTTCACACCAGCAGCAAGAGTCACCAAGCAAACGAGTTTGGCAGTTCAAATTCCTGTACCTGTTCTAAGTCATTTCCCTCCAGGCAGGCGGGGATTGCAGCACAGTGAAAGCCATTCATCATGCTCAGGGGCCTCCTGTCTCCCCTGGAGCTCTTCCAGGGGAGCCTTCCTAGGGCTCCCCAGCCCTTGCTGCAATCAGCTGCTCCCAGGCAACAGTCTTGAGGAGCCAGGAATTCTCTTCCTTCCCATTTCAGGTAAGGGACACCGCCCCAAGACCTCAGTGATGCCCCTGGGCAGCGGCCCCCTTCCCATCATGACAGCCCCTCCCAGGAGTGGAGCACCTGGTTTCCCAGCAAGCTGGTGGCCTTACCCAGCCATGCCCAGAACACTTGAGACCCTGGCAGTGCTGCCACCTGCCTTGCAGACCTTGGCTAAGGGCTGAGGCTGTGGTTTTCCATTTTCCATCTCATTCCTGTGGGTTGGCCTTTTCCCAGAAGAGACATCGGCTCCCTGAAGGCAGAACCACACTTGTCACAGCCCTTGGAACTCACTGACCTTTCCACCTACCACCTGGGCATAAGCTAAGAGCTTGCCTATTAACATAAGTAATGGGTGGAGGGGGGATCAGGTGGCCCCAGGGAGAAAACAGGGGGAGGAAACAAGACTTTGCACCTGGAAAACAACCGCAGGGCTCCAGGTGTGTATGTCTGTTCCTCCAGCTGACTTCTTCCGCAACCAGAGTCACCAAGCAAATGCAGTTTGGCAGTTCAAATCCTTGTACCTGTTCTAAGTCTTCTCTGATGTGTCTCTGTTGTAATTCTGGTAGGTGGTAAAGGTCTCTCCCTATGCAGGGTTGGGTGGAGATTTGCCAAAAGGACGCACTCTCAGCTGCCCGGGGAAGGAGCAACCTGTGAACCTGTGTGAGTGGAAAGGAGAATGCACCTCTTCATTTGTCCTGAGTGTTGAGAACTCACAGTTCCCTATAAACACTTCTTACCATGAACAGAGGGTCTATTCGGAGCAAGGAATATGCAGCAAGCCACATGCTAGAGACAGGCTTGCACCCTGCCTCTCGGGCCAGGGCCTGGCCTTGTGGTCCTCTTGGTGTGTTTCCTCCCTCCCAACTGGTTAGAAATACCCAAGCCTGGCCCTGTGTCCTGAGGGCTTCAGGAAGGGTCTGCACTCCCTCATAGATGGGAGCTCCTCAGAGGATGCCATGTCCCATATGCTCTCCGGGTTAGGGTGGCAATGGCAGCAGCAGAGCCACTTGGGGTGACCGTGCTGACCCCTCATGATAAGGGCACAGACCATGTCCTAGAGGATTATTTGTAATTCAGTTGGTGGTTTAGGGTTTTTGTTTTTCAGTTGGTTTGTGTTATGTTACATTACTATCTTATTTGGAGAAACACATTCCTTCTTTCTGTCTTTCTCTATTCTTTACAATCCATGGACCCATCTCTTTCTCAAGCTAAAAGATTGTCTTCATGACACCTACTGATTGTATTTTCCCTTCTATTGCTACAAGTCAGATTTTCGTATTTGTTGCCTGCTCCTGCCAGTGCAGGACCAGAGCTCAGAATTTCACTTTCCCTTTATGCAAAATAATCCCTTGAAGAGAGCCACTTTTCTGGTAGCCCTTCAGCATTTCTCCGCTAGGCATGTTGCTGACCAACCATCCAGTCCTTCTGGATCCAAGTTTCCTACATCAAAGAACCCACTTTCCAACCCCATCTTGGTTAACCCACCTCATCCCTGCTGGCAGCCCCACCTCGCCCATCACCCTACACCCAGCCCCACCTGTTCCCATTCCCCTCACATGCACACCACTCTTCCTTTCACCTTCAGAGTGATGCTTTCTATTCAACACAGGAAGTAAAGGAGAGGCAGGCGTGTGATTGAACCACTTCCTTTCTGTTCTTTTGGCTTACAGAATTCTCCAGGTGCATCCAATT